CTCCACTTCCCCCCCCCCACAATCTCACTTAGCACTATCTGATGCCTTAGTTCCAAAATCGCAGCTGCCACGTACATCAGCATCGATGTGGCCAAGACCTGGTCGATCAAGGCGGGCGGAACTCCATCGGCGCAGCGCATCACAAACGACGCCAACCTGTTGTTGCATCACAGTAGCCATCAATGATGTGGGCTTAGTTGGAGGTATGTAGAGTGTTAGGGGTGGGTCGGAACTGCCAAGGTGTCCAGTTGACGTCCAGCTTTGCCACCAGATAGCGCCACACCTGACTGTTGAACCGAGGCCCAGCTTCTGTTGCCAGAAAACGCGCACGACATGACGTGACCAACGACACGACGCACAGAAAAACGCATGACACGCACGAGCAGGGCAGCACTTAGTCGCGTAGGTCGATGTCGATATCTCAAGAGCACCTGGAAGAGTCAAGGTACGTACCAAATTCAAGGGAGCCCGACATGATGTTCACAGATTCGTCCAAACCACCACTGTCATAAGTGCACGACACCGATATGTAGCAAATCTCATGATGGTTGCATTCCTGAGTGTAACATGTGTTAGGGTGTGTGTGTCAGAGCCAACCACACGCGACACAATGGGCACAAGCGAAGGCGAGACATACAATGGTGAAGTCGATCATCACCTCTGTTTCTTCTGTAGAAGACGATCCCCGCCGCGGGAGATCAATCCTGAGGAAGGTGATCATCATAGCGTCGGAAGAGCTACTTTTGTGATCGATCGTTGCTCGCACATGCACACGCTGCCATATTATTGTTATAATTTTGTATTAGTATTATTAGTATTATTAGTTTTACAATATTTCCAATTTTCTGCATTATTATTGCAATTATTAGTTCGTGGCTACGAACCTGGGCAAGAGAGAAGGCTTCGGTCTCGCTGAGCTGCAGCCTCACATCAGAGGAGGCGACGTCGCGCCAGAAGTCGCGTGAGCGCAGGCGCAGCTCGTGGAGGCGCGCGTCGGCCGCAATGCGCACCGCCTGCAGCAGCTCCCACCTCTCGTCCACTCTCCTCGACACGGTCGTCTCCTCTGAAGACAGCTGGAGCCGACGCCCGCTGACACCCAAACCCTGGTAGCCATCGTGACCGCCAATACCGGGGTAAAACATGGGATTGCCCAGGCGACCCCACGGTTGGTGCTTCTTTTCTGCATCAGCGAGCCGGGCGGCTTCGGCGGCGTCTGCTAAGATCCAGGCCAGCTCTGCCTCGAGATCCTCCTCGTCCTCCTCTTCATTGGTCACTGGGCAGAGGTCTTCGCTTTCGCTTTCGCTTTCGTTCTTTCGGTCTTCTTCGTCATGGTGGTGTGGCGGGAGGAGGCTGGCGAAGCGCGGGAGGAGATCGACCAGTACGAACCGGGCGAGCGGGTGGTTGCGCACGACCTGGTCGGCCCAGAAGGAGCTGGTGGCCCGCAGCCGAATCGCATCGCCCACCGCCAGCTCCCTTCCCCACCAGTGGATCAGGTTCGGACTTGAAAATTAGTTACTGGAAAAGAACACAAAAACAAGGGGGGGTGGACGAACCGAACAAGATGGTAGAGCACGAGGTCTGGCAGATCGCTCAGCACAAGCGTACAAGCCGCCCCGTGAGCGTTAAGCACGGCTGCTGGTGGTGCTGTGGCGTCGTTCTCGTCGGGAGAGAGCCGGGCCTTTTTCTTTGTGGGAGCCTCGTTGTGGTGACGCAGCGCGCACGGAGAGCCGCCACTGTCTGTTTTCTTTTCATCATCTTCTTGTACTCGCTTCATGGCTTGTTGGGCGTTTTAGAAGAACTAATTAAATTCTGGTTTTATGGTTTTTTTTGTTGTGTTGGTGCTGGTTCTTCAATGCTGTCGCACCCTCTTTCCAAAAGAGGTCTTCGTGGTTGTGTGCAGCACGCAGCGTCCTCTGCAGTTCCTTGGTTACACCTCTTCTAGTGAGCAGCACCACCCCACCATGATGATGGCCACCACCAGTGGCACTCACCCATGGCCAGTCACTAAACCATTGACATGAAGTGGTGAGTGTGTGCATGCCCTCTTAACTGCAGTGCCTGCCCAGAATCAGGCATGTCAGCCCTGAAGCTAACACTTCCTGGCTCCAGTGCAGGTGGCCAGGTTGTCAATGGTTATGTTGGTGGCCTCATGGAACGACCTCCATTTCCACCAACCAAGCTGAGGGTTGACTGCCTTATTGCAAGACTCTCCTCAATACCATTGGAACTCAGCACCAACCACACCTGCACTATATACTGTCACATTAGATCATTGTTTTTTGAAACCAAACACCTGAGGTGGGAAGTTGCACCATAGAGAACTTGGCAAGTCAGTGGTGGGTCCATTACACTGGAAAACAGAACAGCTGAATTCCCACAAACTCAACAAGTGCCTGCTTAGTCATGAAATTACCCATGACAAAGTGTGCTATGGGCACCCAACAGCCTCAAGATTGCAGGGGCAAAGGGGCAGGAGGGGCATACCCACACTGATGCCTCCACCTACAGAGGATACATGCTGTGCTCCTGAAACCATTCCCACCCAAGCACTGATCCCCTGAGCCTCATGCACAGTACATTAACCCATTCCATTCCCCATTTGATCTTGATTCATTCTTGTTGATGTTGCTTTTCATTAATCACCCAACATACACGTTGAAGCCACGATTCTCGCGGCCACTGGCACTGCTGCAGTAGTGGCGGCGGCGGAGCGGAGTTCAATGGTGAGCACGAGCGGCATCCCCACGCTCTCGAAGAATTGATGGCATTGACGAGAGCCTTGACTACCTCCTCGTTGTCGCTCGGGCCGTATTCGCTTGGGGCGGTTTTTCGTACTTGCCGCCCGTTTTGAGGTACGACCTGCGGTACACGGCTGGCACTTGCAGTCGGGCTTCGTGAAGCTCCCGACTTGGTCTTTCGGGGCCGTTGTTCCGGGCGTCCCAGGGAGAGACTTACAGGAAGTGTTTGGTGGTTTTTGTAGCTCCGAAAAGTTAAGAAATAAACACGACTGCGCGCAGCTTTTCATTCACAGCCCAACCCCGCGCACAACACTACCAAGTATGACAAGGAGCGCCGCCACCGCTGCTTGGTCTGTCATGGCCGTGCTGCTCGTGCTGGCTCACGCTGCGACGTCGACCAGACCGGAGGAGAAAACCCTCGTGTGCGGGCAAACCGACAGCGAGTTTGCGACGGCCCACATCGCCTGTCCACCCAATACGGTCCGTGGTTGTCCGCCATAAAAAATATCGAAGAGCTATCACCATCTCTCATCCTTTTTAATCCTATACATGGCGTGGTTTGGTGCATCAACAGGTGATCGTGCAGATTCCATTCGCTGCGTACGGCTTGCCTGGCGGTTTATGCCCGCACTACTTCTCAAGCTCCACGTGTGACGCAAAGACCGCCCTGAGCGTTGTGGCCGGCCAGTGCCTGGGGCGCAACAACTGCTCCGTGCAGCAGAACGGACTGGGCCAGATGGGCGATCCCTGCTACGGCATCCAAAAGCGCCTGCGCGTGGTCGTCCAGTGTGCGCCCGAACCCAAGGCGCCGCTGCCGTCACTTGCGCCCTCCCAAGGCAGCTACGTCTGTGGGTCCTCAGACCGCGAGTACGCGCGTGCTACCATCGACTGCCCTCCCGGTTCGGTGCGTGCACAGTTTCCAGTTCGGAGTTAGTTACATGGATAGGCACGGAGAGTGTTTTTTGGGTCTGTCAGTCCCAAACTAAAGTTGCTTCTGCGCCACACACGCACAGGTCGTGGCGGCCATCCCGTTCGCCTCGTACGGTCTGCCCACCGGCAGCAGCTGCCCAGACTTCGCCGTTAATGCCCGGTGCCACTCCAACTCGACTATGAGCGTCGTGGCCGGTCGCTGCCTCGGCCGCGGTCGCTGCTCGATCCAGCAGGACGGATTCAATGGTCCCATGGGCGACCCCTGCTTTGGCGTCTCCAAGCGCCTGCGTATCATCGCTCAATGTGCGCCGGCACCCTCCGCGACGCCCTCCGTCTCCTCGCTGCCGTCGCTGGCGCCCTCCAGCCACTACGTCTGTGGTGCCACGGACAGCGAGCGTACCTGGACCCACATCAGCTGTCCAGCTGGCTCGGTACGCATCGCATCCCTCAGTGAAGTGACATGCGCATGCGACCACACAGAGAGCTTACGCCCGGCGTGCGTCGACGCAGACGATCGTCGGAGTCCCGTTTGCCGCGTACGGCACGCCCACCGGCAGCTGCCCCAACTTCGCCGTCGACCCGGGCTGTGACGCCAGAGGGACGAGGGATCTGGTGGCTAGCCTCTGCGTGGGACGTAGCAGCTGTTCGGTCCAACAGGACGACAGCGGCGTTCTCGGGGATCCTTGCATTGGCGTGCACAAGCTTATGCGCATCGTCGTCCAATGCGCTCCCTCGCGCCCTCTCGCCAGCCCGTCTCCCTCCGCGTTGCTCTCTCCGACAGCTGCGTCGCCCTCGCCCGTTGCACTGCCCTCTGCCTCGCCCCAGCCCGCTGCCGGCAGCTTCGTGTGCGGCGCCTCCGACGTTGAACACCAATTCGCTCAAGTGAACTGTCCTGCCAACTGGGTATGTGACGCCATTGTTTCACCCGACGAAATCGATGATCTTCTTGATCTCTTCCTTGACTCTCCTGTGTGTGTGTGTCAGGTGGTCGGAGCCATCTCCTTTGCCTCGTACGGTCTGCCGACGGGCGTCTGTCCATGCTACAAGGCGGAGACTTGGTGCGACGCCCGTGAGACCGTGGCGTACGCCACCAGCCTGTGCCTCGGCCGCAACAACTGCTCCATCCAGCAGAACGGATGGGGTCCTCTCGGCGACCCGTGCCCCAACATCTTCAAGCGCCTGCGCGTGGTCGCTCGCTGCATTCCGCCCGCCCAACAGGATCAGGAGGACGTCCCTGCGCTCAATGAAGGCGGCGCCGGCAGCACAGAAGCGGCTCCCTCGCCCTCGCCTCCTCCTGCGCTTGTGGAGAGCCTGAAGTGGCTTCCTCGCTCCATGCTGGAGGCGCTTCTTTGGTTGGCGTGACCATGCCTCTAAACTCGTCAACTTTTATAAACCTGAGTTTTGATCTTCTGGCACCCGACCTGGCGCGAGCGGCGAAGAGGAATCGTCCCAAATCCGGCACCACTGCACTGGCACGCGCATAACGGCGATGATTATCTTCTCGCTCATTCAGTTCTTCCAGTTGTTTTGCAGCACCAATGGCCGGCCGCAATGAGGTTTTGGTGGTGGCCGTCTTCGTCGCCTCCGCTCTCACCGCTCCCCAGTGGCCTCTCCAATGGTACCTTCACCTTCCACGAACGACACATGAATCCACAGAGAGAAGAACGAAAATCTAAACACCCACTCCTTGAACCCGCACGAAACGCGACTTTCCTGTGCATCAAGGAGAACCAGCACCAGAAGACCAACGCCTGGCTCAACGTACGTACCACCGCTTGCCAGCTCTTCCTTCGAATGATGTCTGAAGCGTGTGGGTAATATTGATCTCGCTACAATCATGTCTTGTGTGTCGTTTGTGCTCGACAATCCCATACACGCCCTCGCCCACGGCCCGCGCCTCGGACACCAGCTGCCGCTATTGGCCGCCGCCGCTGCCGGCGTCGGTGGTGATCTTCTTCGTGCCGTCGCCCTCCGCCAGCACCTTGCGCACATCGTGCAGATTCCCCCCCCCTGGCCACCACTCCTGATTATTGAAGCACCTAACTTATTGGCAGGGCTACTGGAGTAGGCACTGGCTAGACCGAGCCAAGGCTGCAATCCGCTCCTTTTCCGCCCGGCCCGTGCTCGACTTGTCGTAGAGCGCCTGCAGCACCTCTGCGCTAGGGACGCAGCACTCGGGACCCGCGCCGTAGCTGGAGAACGGGTCCACACCCAGCAGAGCTGCCTCGGTCAGGCGCAGGAACGTGTTCTCCACTTCGCTTCCGGTGCGGCTGCTGGTTTCGGCCCAGCCGGCGGCGCCCAACTCCAGGGCTAGCGCCTGGCCCTCCTCCGGCGACACTTGCCTCTGATGCTCCAAGTCGTTCTTCGTTCCAACTGTCAATACACAACACACGACACACACGACACACACGACACACACGACACACACGACACACACGACACACACGACACACAACGATGGTTAGCTGACGATCACCGTCACAGGACAAGGGCAGGACTGTAATGTACCAAGGATGAAGGGCATCATGTCAACATCATCGGCCAGGCTTCGCCGCACCTCTTCGACCCAATACTTGGCATTCTTCCACGAGCTTCGCGCGGTGATGTCGTAGACCACCAGCAGGCCGCGCGACCCTCGGTAATACGCCCCCGTGATGCTGCGGAAACGTTCCTGGCCCGCCGTGTCCCACACTTATGATGAAAGCAGAATCCAGGTCAGCCAAAACGCACAAGATCGAACGCGCGAGGGACCCTGCCAACAGAGCGAGAAAGAAAGGCTGCGAAGAGGGGTGATACCTTGCAGCTTGATGCGCTGGCCGCACATCTCGATTGTCCTGCTGCCAAATTCAACGCCGATGGTGCTGGAGTGGTGTCGATGGAATTTGGGCAGAAAGCGAGTGTGGAGGTAAGTCTTGCCCGCACCTGTTTTTTTGGCGAAAGAACACCAGAGTCAGCCACACGCCATTGAATCGCCAACAGCTGCATCATCCAAGCATAGGCCTCACGATGAAGCGTACCGCTATCGCCGATGAGGTTGAACTTGAAAAGATGGTCGTAGTCCTCGGATTGATGCGTTGATGGCCGCGCAGAGGCTGCGGCTCCGGTGAATCCTCTCGCTGGCCAGTAAAATGATCAGTCTCTCTTGCGATGAAAAGCGCCAACGTCGGCGAGAGTTGAAGTACTTACCTTTACTGGTGGCGTACTGCTTGAGGCGGGGCTGGAGCCAGGCCATGTAGCGCGCCTTCCATCGCCTGCCCTCGTACCCCTTGTCATCGCTGCTCCACCGCGCATTGCAGAAGCGGCGCCACACGTGGTCGTCGCTGCTCACTTCGTTCAGTGTCTGTGGTGCGGGTGGTGTCAGCCCAAAGGAAGAACTGTGGCGCGAATCGAGCTCAGGCGGCCGGGGTGGGGTACCGAGCAGGTCTGGGCAACAGAGCACAGGTCGTGGGGCTCCAGGAGGGCCATCACGTGCACCAGCGCGCCGAAGGGCATGAACAAGAGGGGACACGCCCGATAGCTCCAGCTTTCGATGAGCTCCGCCACGGCCACGTGGCCCGCCGCTCTCGCCACCTGACCAGCCGTAATGAGGCCTCCATCAGCCTTCGTCTCTGAACTAGACTGCGAGAGGAGGAAGAAGACAAGCTAAGAGGCAATGAAGGCCAGCCGAGGGGCACCTCGGCGGGGTTGCCGTGCTTGCTAATCAGCCGCGTGTCGGCTCGCGAAGAGAGAAGGAGCGACACGACAGCGGCGTGACCATAGCGCGCGGCGTAGTGCAGCGCCGTTTCGCCCTGCTCGTCGGCTTTGTCGACATCGCTCACGTGTTTGCCTGCGTCAATGAATGTCAGCAATGCGTCGGCTCAGCTTGAGCCCCGCAAGCAACGCACCTTGGAGGAGGAATTGGACGACCGGCCAGTTGCCGCGTGCGCAGGCCACATGGAATGGTGTCATCCCGTGCCGGTCCGGCCTGACGGTCCCGATAATCATGCAGGTCAGGTGATAATTGAATGATGGGCACAGAACGTGTGGCCGTGTGCGGTGCATACCAGTTCGGACCGGCGCCAATGTCCAGGAGCAGCTGCCAGAACTTGACCGCGGGCGAAGGCATGGCCCATCTTTGCACCGTGTTGACCCACCTCGCTCCAACCGTCGCCGGCAACTGTTGGGCATTGCGCAGGGTGGTGTGTGTGTGGTAAAGAAGTAAACGTACGCTGCTTGAATCAACAGTAGGTGAGCCCGTACATCAGGGTAGGGACCCTCCTGGGTCTCGGCCAGGGCGTGCAGCTCTGATCGCTTACAATTCTGCTGATGGACGTGGGCACCGTGGTCGATGAGCAGGCCGGCCATGACCATGTTGTTGCACTTGACCGCAGCGAGCAGCGGCCGCAGGCCCATGTCGTCGGCTTCATTCACGTCGCACCCTTCTGGTGGGAAAAAAATGCCTCTGTGGTGAAAAGGCAGCACAACAACGCGAAGACATCGATGGCAACGTACGAAAGATTAAGGTGGAGTGGCGAAGACGGCGGGCCACTTGTGGAGCTGGAGCGAGTTGGCGTCGACAGCCACGCCGTGCACGAAGATGTGGTCTAGGCACACGTCCCACTTGTGGTGGGTGACTGGGTAGGGCCGGCCGCCCTCGGGGCCGCGGTAGGCGCCCTTGTCCACGGCGCTCTCGAGCGGGTGGAGGATCCCCTTGGCGGCCTCCCACGCCTCCGCGTGGTGAATGCTGTCGATGTTGAGGTCGCCGCCCAACACAATGCGCGCCTCTTCGTCCTCGGCCAACTCCTGCACATCTGCAATGAGTGACACGACACGACACGACACGCACACGACACAACACCACACAACACGCACACGCACATGACACGACACGAAACGCATGCAACACAGCACGCGACGCACACGACACGCTCAGAGCACTGCGAAGGAGCGAACTTTGTGAACCAGCTCGGTCATGATCTGTTTGAGCTGTGCCAGCCGGATGTCAAGGCTGTGGGCGTCGAGGTGGGCGGTGATAACGACGAGGTGCGGTCCCTCGTCGCTCAGCCTGAGCTTGGTCATCAGTGCGCCCTTGAGCGAGACCATTTCCTGTCCCGCAACACACCACACACCACACATGGTACGACACATGACACACACACACACACACACACCACGACACGACACGACACGACACGACACACCATCCAATACAAGTGATGAGTGACATGGACACCCGCTGGCGCTGATGTTTCCTGTGGTGACATACTGCAACACTGCGCTCCTTGAAGAAGATGGTCTTGGAGGAGACGATGGGGTGCTTGCTCAAGATCAACAGTCCTGTGTTGTGCGGAGGGTGGATGGTGGGTGGTTAGTGCGTGGAACAGCACAGACCGAGCGATGGGTGGTGGGACTCAAGCTAACAGTTACCAGTGTCCTGTTGAAACCAGTGGGGCGGGGCGTGGCTGGCCTGGTGGTGGTGTGGCCAGCGGGCGACCACACGATCACGCCATTCGCCAACAGCACCACCAGGCACATGAAACTTGAACAGCTCCTGCAGCATCACCACATCGAACTCGTCCACGTGTGCCAGCAGACCTGCACACGCCACAACAGCACATGGCGGTGTGAAAAAAAAGAAAGAAAAAGAAGAAGAAGGGACTGTGTGGTGCGGGGGGGGGGCAGAACACCATTCACCCGGGCTTCACGGTTGGGATAAGAGTGGCCAACAAAGTGATGGATATTCATGTTCTGGGTGAGCAACCGCACACGAGGAGCCTGCTGTTCCATCTCTTGCGGCTTTGAAATGACAAAAAAGTCTCCTGTGGTGTTGAAGCGGGTACCAGAATGACCAAAAAGATGCAGCTTCAGGCCTGCTGGGGGTCGAACCCAGAATCTCCTGATTCGTAGTCAGACGCCTTTCCATTGGGCCACAGGCCTTGCTTCTTTGTTTTCTTTTTCGGCGCGAATCTGCCAAGGAGATCCTCCACCCGCTTCTTTTTAGGCCGATATATCGGCGCAAGGTGCCTGGAGCCAACAACAAAAGGCAACATAAAAGAATGTTCCGCTGCCGGGAATCGAACCCGGGGCGCATGGGTGAGAACCATAAATGTTACCGACTACACCACAGCGGATTGGTTTGCCACCCTTCTCGCGGCCTTGTCGCGAAGGATAGAGGCCCCTGTCTGGCGATATTTCTTAATTTCTTTGTAATGCCTGGAATTGGGCAACACAATCATATTTTCTGCGGCACTGTTTCTTGTTTGGCACAATAGATATAAGATCATGGTTCGGACGGCAGCACCAGGAGGCGCGGGCGGCAGCCAGCAGCGGCCGGTGACGGAAGAGGAGACGCCACCCATAGCCATGTTCGCCGTGCCGCCTGTCTACTCGATCGTTTGTGGCGTGCTTTACTGCCCCCGTTCGCTCCCCCCACTACTTTGTTTTTACTGTTGGCCTATTGGGCGGCGAGCCTCACACTTTGTTGCGGTGTTGGCCAGTCATGCTGTCCTACTCTAACGCCTGGAACGCGTGGGTGCGCGCGATCAATCGTCCGCCAACGCCGTCGGCGTCGGGGTGGGACCGTGTTGTCGGCTCGCCCTTGAAAGATTTCAAGGCACCGCACCCTTTAGTTCCCTTGTTCGTTTTCTTTATTTATTTATAATTAATTTATTAATTTATTGCAAAACAAAATTTATTTATTACTTTTAACGGCAGGCCGAGGCGGTTATCAGCAACCGTAGCTGGAAGCGCTTTGCTCTGCTCGTGTAACGTGCCTCTGCTCAACCTTGTGTGTTGCGGCGTGCGGCGTGTGTCGTGTGTCGTGTGGGCTTGTGTGACTTATCACGATCGTGGGCTCTTGCAGGGGCACGGATATGCTGGAGTTGCTCACCGCTCTTTACGCGGGCCTGGCCGTGAGCCTCACGCTCGATGGTACTCCCCACCTTCACACCTGTCAATTGCCAGCCAACTTCTGCTTCGCCTCCTCAACTGCTCACCCGCGACCTGTGTGGCGTGTGGCGTGTGGCGTGTGGCGTGCCACCAGCTTTCCGAGCGCCCCCAGGGCAGCAGCCGGGGAACATGGAGAGCCCCAGCCTCTTTAGTTCGCTATGGGGCAACGTCGCGGGCACCGTCATCGCGTTCCCGCTCTCCATCCTCACCTGGCAGCTCCACACCGACAACTGGTACCGTGACCACGATCGTGATCTCTCTCTCTCTCTCTCGCACACGCACACGCGCACACGCACACGCACACATACACAACGCTCACCATTTCTGGCCCGCAACCGCAACAATGATATTCAGGAGAGGCTGGGGCAGCCTGGTGCCGTTCACCAGCCTCGGCAGGCTCCACTGGCGTGCCCTGCCGGCCAAGTATTTCGAGTTACTGGCTCTGAACGTACTCAAGTACGTCAAACCTACGCACACGCACACGCACACGCACACGCAACACTGTGCTGACAGGCAGCCATCTTCTTCGCACGTGGTGGATGTGGGGGGGGGGTGCAGAGTGCGGCTGGCCGATGCGGTGACCTCGGTGACGGGCATTGGTTGCGAACCGCTGGGATGGCTCGCCAGCGACGTCAAGAACCACCAAGACGACCCCGATTTCTACGACGTACATGCACCTCCGGCCGCATACGACACTCGACACTCACCTAATCTGTCAATAACGAGAAATAATGGCTCTATTGGGGAATAGGAAAGGGAGGAACGGTCCACCGCCAGGGTGATCGTGGACCGCGCTCGGCTTTGGGCCATTGGCACGGTCGGCTCCTGGCTCTCCAGCCTTGTCCTTGGTACGCCCAGATACGACCCCCGCAACTGGCGCCACCGCTGCTCACCGGTGGTGGTGGCGGTGGTGGTGGTATATACAGTGGGCATGCAGGTGCCGGCGGCGATCGTGTGCCATCGCATGCTGGCCGAGCCGGGCCGCTTTGGATCGGTGGTGGAGTGCGTGCGGCACATCTGGGCGAGCGAAGGCCTGAGCGGCTTCTACCGCGACCTGCCCCTCTTCAGCCTCCTGATCATCAACGAGCTCATGTGAAGAAGAGCCTCACAACGTAACAACAAAAAAACCTGCTTTCGGACCCAGGCCTTAAGCCACCCACGCCTGTCAGTCACATCATTCTTCGTTCTCCTCTCGCACTCACCGAGATTAGTTTTTTTAACATGGATTTCTTGATATGCAGTAGATAGAAGAGGGAAAAGAAAAGAATTCCGGCTGCCCGGACTCGAACCAGGAACCGATAGATGACTACCGAGGTGAGCATCAAGACTACAGTCTACCGCGCTACCAATTGCGCCACAGCCGGTTTCTGTGGATGAGAGCAAAATAACGAAATAGTAGTCGAGCGGAGGGGAAAAACAAGCCTTACTCACTATTCAACAGTTTGTTCTTCTGGGTGGTGCCTCAGGCCAAGCACCTCGCCCAGTCGGTGCTCGATCCCAAGACGCTCGAGGATTTCCTTCAGGCCGTCGAAGGTGACCTCCTTGAACGCCGGAAAGCGTTTTGTGCTGTCTTCTCCCTGCGGTAGTCTCTCCTCCAACTTGCTCACCATTCGCTGCCAGGGCATGGCACGCACTCGCCTGCCCAGCGCGAGGGCAGTGTAAGTTATTGCCATGCCGTGTGCCGTGTGTGTCATGTGTCGTGTGTGTCACGTGCGGTGTGGTTGAACAGTCCCAGGGAGGTACGCGTACCTAACGAACTCACGCACGCGCTGCGAGTCGCCCTCGATCACAATGAGGCCGGGCTTGCCCGCCAGACAGGCCCCGCGCAGTCGCAGCTCGCTGGCCCACTCCGGCATGATGCGCCGCTTCTTCTTGCCGTAGATGTGATGCGACCACAGCCAGTGCCGCTCTTCCTCTCCACCCTCCTACCACCAAGGAGGAATACATGTTCGTTATATAGACATTATTGTTTATAATAACATCTACCAATGGTCGTCGACGCGACGAAGAGACGCTTTCCAAATATGCAGTGAGGTCGTGAACGTACGTTCTTGTCGGTGGTGGTGGTCAACGGCTGAGCGGTCCAGGCGAAGCTCGCCGCGGCGTTTTCCTGCAGCCAGCGGATGGCCTCGAACAGCCGGCCCTCGCCCGCCGGGCAGTGGGCGTCGACGTGCAGGGCCAGGCGCCTCTGTAGGTCGTCCGCCGCCGCTCGCGATAGGACCGATCGCGGCCCACCCGGCGGCAGCTGGTGGTGTTCGTGTTCGGCCCCGCGTACGGCGAATTGCGGCGGCTGAATGGGATAGGTCGCTGGCAGCGCGCAGTAGAGTTCGATCGTGACCTCCGCCTGGTCGTCATCTGCCTCCGCCTGGTGGTTGTGTCGATAAAAGTGAGTGGGCTATCATACGTACAGGCCCTGTGTCCTCGGGGTGATGGTGTTCGTTTGTTTGTTTGTTCCTTCGTTGACGGCAAAGTAGCCGCCGAGCGTTTCATGGCAAGCACAAAAAAAGAAAGAAATTGAAAAGGAAATGATTGGGGGCAGTGTACTGAAGGCTGGAGAGGAAGGCGAAGCGAGAAGGCGGCGGGCTGACGGCTGCGCAGCGCGGCAGCGGCAGCGGTCACACCCGGAGGCGGCTCGCCGTCGGGTCCCGGGAACATAGCGCCCACCACTTCGACCTCCTCCGCCCCCGCACCAGCGGCCACGTCCATCTAATGTTTGTTCTTTATTTCTCCTTTTCGATAATGTGATTTTAGTTATCCTAATTATTTTGGGTATTTTCTTGGGCCGGAGTTTAAGGAGCCGAGCAACCAACCACGCTCCTAGGTGATATACGGCGGGCCAATGGGAAGGCGAGCTAGCCAATCTCGGCGCACCGATCAAGGTTTTTCAAGACCGCACTCGCGTCACCGTAGGGTCGGCCCAAGCCGCTCAAGACTACGCGGGGAGGATACGGGGGGCCGAGTGCTATAATCGTCGTTTCGCAAGCTTGAAGTGAAGACAACAACACGCACACACAACGCTTCTTTCTTTTGTCCGCACTTTCCACAAAGAGAGAAAGCGAAGAAGGCAGGCAGCGAAACGGGAAGGAGAAGAGAGAAGGAAGAGAGAAGAGAGCAAGGGATATTCCGTTAGGACCCGATTCATACGAGCCGCGGCAGAGAGTAAACTCGAGGTCGGCGACGCGTCAACCAACATCACCAACCAGACCAGGACGGCCGAAGTCCCACGGCGCCTCTTCTTGTCAAGACCGGACCTGACGGACGTCATTGTACCTCTCGAGAGGGGCTTTGGAGTTCGTAAGGAGAACAACAAGCACAACCACCCCAGGTGCACGTGAAGCAGAACAACAAGCCGCCGCCCCCTTGCGGTACGGACAACTTTGTCTTGTCCTTCTCCATTTTCGTGTTCGCCATTCGTGGGCTCTTTTGGTGTGTTTTCTTAATCTTTATCTGCCTTGCTACGTTCTCCCATTGGACCATCGCACACATTAGACGCAACAAACCACAAATATGGTCCATTTTTCTTATTTGTCATTTATCTCTTGTTCGTCCGCCAAAAGGGCCTTTTAATTCCCCTCTTGTTACTTTCATTTTGTGTTTATTTATTTCTTCTTCTTCTACTTCTTTTCTAATCTGACCTCCTTGTGGTCTCGTTCGCGAGTGGGTTCATATTTTTACGCCCCTGACTTGGTGTGGCCGCTTGTTTTGCCGCACGCGCCCATTGGTGTGATTTTTAGTCCTACTTTGATGTTTTTGTTGCGTAATGTTGTCCAACGGCCACAAGCTCCGCGAGACTGACCAACCCAACGTCTCTCTCACGCTTCATTCAGACACGAGGCGGAGGTGAACGAAGAAGAAGAAGCAGAAAAAAAACAACAACAACACAACACACATCAAAACACACAAAGATGAAGCTGGCGAGCAAGCTCAAGAAGAAGTCGCTGAAGGCCAGCGACACCAACAAGAACGCGTCGACCCCCACCTCCGGGTTGGCCATGTGGGAGGCCAAGCTCGCCGAACAGCACAGCAGCACCACCGCCGCCGCCAAGGAAGACGCAGCTGCGGCTTCGTCGCCGGCCGGGTCGCCGGCGGGTTCGCCCGCGCGGACCACTTCGATGCGCGGCGTGTCGGCCCACGGCCGGCGCGTGACGCTCACCCGCAGCGACTCGAACGACAGCTCGGAGAGCAGCAAGAAGAGCAGCAAGAAGGACAAGAAGGAGAGCAGCAGCAGCAGCAAGAAGAAGCTGACGTCACCGAAGCTCGGGGGCGAGAAGGACAAGAAGTTCTCCACGTCGTCGCCCTCCTTCTTCGCCAACGGCGCCGAGACGGCCGGCGTGGTCGACGACGACGACGAGGTGGTACCGGTGCCTGGGCCTGTCGACATCAATAGCAACCACAGCAGCGACAGCAACAGCGAAGACGGGGGCACCGCCGCAGGGCAGCTGAGCCCGCGCCGCGGCGGCGGCCGGCAGCCGTCGACGCCGACCAAGATGGGCAGCGGCGGCCTCTTGTCGCGCTTCGGGAAGGGCAAGGGCGGTGGCGGCGATGATGCGGCCAAGAAGACGGCGGCTGCGGAGGAGGACACCCGACGAAAGGCGCAGATGGCGGCTCTCGAGCTGTTCAAGGAGAAGGGCACCTGCAGCTACACAGGTAAATCTTCTTCTCTTAATTTTACCGATTCTGATTTATTCTTCTACGTGTAATTATTCTTATTCTTTTTGTTCTACATGTAACCATTATTCTTATATGAATGCCTTTTCTTTCGAACGTACTTATTCTTACTTATTGGTTTTGTTTTCTTATCAAAACGTTTCATTCTTATTTATTTATATTTATTTTTCGATTCCCTTTTTTGTTGTTGGGCAGTCCCGGCGGCCTACAGCGGAGAGAGCGGCGAAGTGCCCGCCGTGGAGGAGCTGGAGGGCCTGCGACAGGTACATACATCGCCTTCCGACCAACGCCGCCGCTCTCTCCGCTGTAGGCTGTGCAAGTCACACTCACTTAACAATGACCTTCTTCTCCATCATGACCGCCACCTCATCGCCCACCTGCAGAAGGAGCAGGAGCGTCAGACGGGACGAGGCAAGCGGTCCAACGACGTGCTCATCGAAATCGTACGGCGGCGCCCGGCAATCGCTTCGGGCTTCCTTTTCGCACGCCACGCAGGCACTCACCACGGCGATGTGGTGATGGTGTGGTGTGCAGGTGGAGGGAAGGCCCCAGCTGCGCGCTGGCACATTCGAGGAGATCGTGAAGTGGATCATCTTCAACAACGTCAACGAACATGTCTCCTCCTTCCTCATCACATTCCGCGCCTACGGTGCGTATCTCTCGGCGCTTCTCCCCTTTCTTTTTTATCTTTATTTATTCGTAAAAGATCTTTATTCGTTATTTGTTAATAAGATCTTATTATCTTGCGCCGTGAACGACCTGGATCAATTCCAAGCAACGGGGATCGCTTTCACTCCCTTTTAAAGCCTTCCGATCTGCTTTCCAACTATCCTCCAATTGCGCGGGACTTCAAATGATATAGATGGGAATTATAAATGATAATATATCGCTAATATGTTTTTTTTTAATTCCAGGCACACCGGCCGACCTGTGGGCAGCGCTCATGAGAGTGTTCCACATCATCGAAGAGAAGGACAAGATGCCGCTCATCATGAAGGTCGACCTCCGCAAGAAGTACCGTATCCTCCCCTTCGGTGGACACATGCATTGCGCAATGTGGTGCGGCCGACTCACCACGCAACTCCCAACTCTCCCAGGACCCTCGACCTGTTGGTCGAATGGATTCGACGGTTCTCGTACAAGGACTTCACCGAGAACGGCGACAAGACCCTGTTCAAGGTATTTTTATTTTTATTTATTGTTTATTTATTTTATTAATTGTTTATTTATTTACTCTTTTATTTTTGGGCTGGACCTAAAGACTAACACGTGTGTTGTGTTGGATGCCGAACACAGAAACTGACCAAGTTCATCAAATCGTTGCCCGCCGAAGAGGCCAACCAGTTCAAGCTTCTCTTCATGAGGAAGGTACATGGCGCCCGACCACCCACTCTCGCTTCCATCAGTTCTTCTTTCTTCAATTCTCAATCTCACCACTTCTCTTCCGCCCTGTGCGACACAGCGAGACGACACCTCGGCTGCGGCTGCGGCGGCCAAGGCGAAGGAGGCCGAGGGCTCCGACAGCAGGTACCCTCCCCTCCCGGCTCTTCGTCCTTCGTTCTTCTTCGTGTTTCGTTCTTCGCTCTTCTCAAACACTGACGCGCGCCTCCAGCAGGAGCGACTCCGTGAGCTCGATGGGCTCGGGCCGATTCGACAAAGACTTCTCGTCGGTGGAGGTGCCCATCCACGCCCCGACGGCCTCGGGCCTGTCCCTCTCCTCGAGCGAGATCATCCCCATTTCCGCGCCTTCCATGCTCACCGGGTCCCTCCACGTCCACTCGCCCAGGGTTCGTTCCCAGCTTTCGTCATAGAGAGGCCTCTCGCTACTTGTCTGCCTAACTGTGTGTCGTGTCGTGTCGTGTCGTGCGTGTGCAATGATGGCTCTATTGTAGGTTATCGCCCAGCAAATGTCGTTCCTCGACGCAGCCTGCTTCGCTGAGATTCAGCCCGAAGAGATGCTTCTCTCCAACTGGACCAAGCCGAACAAGGAAGAGGTCGCGCCCACGCTCACCAGCCTGGCCCGACAGTTCAACATGTGGTCGGGCATGGTGGCCACCGACATCATCCTCGCCAACTCCCTCATGGTACCTATTCCTAATTATTATATTGAATTATGACGATTTAGCTCTCATATCTGTATTTGTGTATTTGTGTATTTATTTACTTACATTGTTCTCTTCTTTTCCGTACAGGACCAAGTGATGATGGTGAAGCAGTACATCAGAGTTCTGCACCACCTCTACCGCATGAACAACTTCCAGTCTCTCATGGCTGTGATGTCTGGTACCACCGCCTCGCAACCCACGCTCGCTTGCTCATTGGCCCCTCGCCAAACGACACCAACCAATCGCGCTCGGCCTGATGTTAACAACCAACCAATCAACAATCAATTCAAATCATGTAGGCCTCAACTGCTCGTCGGTGAGCCGATTAAAGCGGGTGTGGAGCCGGATCCCGGTCAAGTACACGGAGCTGTTCGCGAGCATGGAGCAGGTGATGACCCCGCTGGGCAACTTCAAGTACTACCGCCAGATCCTGGCCGAGAACAAGGACAAGCAGCCCATCATCCCCTACCTCGGTACCGCACACGCACCACCGCACACACCACCACACACGCACACAAGACTAACCTTTTCTTCTTCTTTTGTGTTTTTTTGTCGCTTCTCGCAGTGGTGTTCCTGCGCGATCTCACGTTCATCAACGACGGCAACTGCGAGACGCTCATGTCTGGTACCTCCCCGCTCTTCCGTTCAAATTCTTTTGCGCCTTTATTTATTGATATAAATTATTATTTATTATTTATTATTTAAACAGAGCCGATGGCGCCGACGGATGTGCCGCGCGAGCTGCCCAATTTCGAGAAGATGGTGCTGCTGGGCCAGCAGATCCTTGAACTCGAGGCCTACCGCAAGGTGCCCTACGACATCGAGGTGAACCCCACCGGTACGCACTACTTCTATTACTGCTGTACTCCTCCTTCTATAAAAAGGAAGCCACGACACACGACACGACGTTCTTCTTTGCGCGGCTCTGTGCATGTGCTTATGAATTTGTTGTTTGTTTGTGTGTGTTGCGCAATGACAGTGACCGGCCTGCTGAAGAATGTGCGGTACATGGACGAAGACTCGCTCCATCGTCGTTCGCTCGAGCAGGAGCCCATCCACAGCCTCAACGACAGCGTCGGTACGATTGACCGCACTCGCACACGACCGCACACACCACCGCACACGCGCACAGCACACACAGCAATACACTCGTACACTCGTAACGTTACTAATGTATACTATCTGGCGGTGATTGCAGATGACGAGAACAAGCCGGCGGAGGTGGTCGTCAAGAATCCTTTGGTGGCACTCAAGGCCATCTCCAAGGACTTCAAGGCTGTATCGGCCAGCGAGGAGGTACTCATACCGGCGGCCTCCCTTTCTTTTTTAACGAAGCTTCATTTTTTTCTTTTCGTGTTTCTTTGCTCACCGTCTGACGCGTGCAGACCGACCTCTCGGGAGATCTCACACTGTCGGAGAGCGACGACGCTCTTTCCGCCACCTTCTAATCTTCACGACTCTCCGTCCTGGCCTCTCGCCAAGCTTTTCCCCCCTTTACTCCGTGTTCGTCTTCTCTCTTTTCCCCCACCACGCGTATGTGTGGCTTCTGCAACCTTTTTGGCCACGGTCCAGTCTTCTTGTACCATAAAAAACCCGGCCAGCGCAGCTAGACACGCACTCACAATGCTCCGATCGTTGCCGCCGCGCGCTAACTACTATTTCGTTATTTTCCTCATCTACAACACGAAACCGGCTGTGGCGCAATTGGTAGCGCGGTAGACTGTAGTCTTGATGCTCACCTCGGTAGTCATCTATCGGTTCCTGGTTCGAGTCCGGGCAGCCGGAATTCTTTTCTTTCCTCGATTCTTTTTACTGCATATCAAGAAATCCATGTTCTGCGTCGTTGTGAGCGCAGTATCGAGAAGTGAGGATCTCTTCACATGAGCTCGTTGAGGATCAGGAGGCTGAAGAGGGGCAGGTCGCGGTAGAAGCCGCTCAGGCCTTCGCTCGCCCAGATGTGCCGCACGCACTCCACCACCGACCCAAAGCGGCCCGGCTCGGCCAGCATGCGATGGCACACGATCGCCGCCGGCACCTGCATGCCCACTGTATATCGACCGCACCACCACCACCACCGGTGACAACGGTGAGCAGCGGTGGCGCCAATTGCGGGGACTTGCGTGTGGGTCGCATCTGGTACGTACCAAGGACAAGGCCGGAGAGCCAGGAGCCGACCATGCCGATGGCCCAAAGCCGAGCGCGGTCCATGATCACGCTGGCTGCGGACCGCTCCTATACCCAGAAAGCCATTCATTCATACATCGTTAACGAGCTGTAGACTCGTGTCGTGTCGTGTGCGATCAGGGGTACATGTACGTCGTAGAGGTCGGGGTCGTCTTGGTGGTTCTTGACGCTGGCGAGCCACCCCAGCGGTTCGCAACCGACGCCCGTCACCGAGGTCATCACCTCGCCCAGCCGCGCCCTGACCCCCAATCCAACAACAGCCGAAGAAGGACGGGTCTCATGTCAGCTTGGCTCGTGTTGTCGTGGGGTTGCGTGCGTGTGCGTAGGTCATACGTACCTGAGTACGTTCCGGGCCAGGGAATCGAAATACTTGGCCGGCAGGGCACGCCAGTTGAGCCTGCCGAGGCTGGTGAACGGCACCAGGCTGCCCCAGCCTCTGCTGAATATCATTGTTGCGGTTGCCGTCCAAGAATGTGTGCGGTGTGTCGTGTGTGTGGTGTGTGTCGTGTGTGTGTGGTGCATGCGTGCGTGCGTGCGTGCGTGCGTGCGCGAGTGTGTGCGTGAGAGAGAGATCACGATCGTGGTCACGGTACAGTTGTCGGTGTGGAGCTGCCAGGTGAGGATGGAGAGCGGGAACGCGATGACGGTGCCCGCGAGGTTGCCACACAGCGAACAAAAGAGGCTGGGGTACTCCGGCTGCTGCCCTTGGGGGCGCTCGGAAATCTGGCGGCACGCCACACGCCACACGCCGCGGGTGCGCAGTTGAGGAGGAGAAGCAGAAGTTGGCTGGCAATTGACAGGTGTGAGGGTGGGAGTACCATTGAGCGTGAAGCTACCGGCCAGGCCCAGGTAAAGAGAGGTGAGAGGGTCGACCTACCGCGGCCCCGAGGGCGGCCGTCCCTACCCGGTAGGGACACCCACCCAACAAGTGGAACTGTGTCACGCCGACTCGCACCAGCTCCACTCCACCACCACCACCGACAGTAGACCACGCCGACTTGGTCTCCGACCGCTACTCGCACGTTCCGTGATCCCGACAAAACACCACAGCTCCTCGTTGTGTCGCGCGTCTGTATGCTGCACAGAACGGCAACAGCAAAAAATATTAAAACAGTAAAAATAATTTTTGGTATCTTCTGTTTGGTTTCCCAGAGACAGCGCCAGTTCGCAGAAGGAGGTGCCAAGACAAAGGGGACCTTTTCGTTGAGGGAAGAGAGAGCCAGCACAATGAACATGAGTGCGTGGCAGATAGTGCAGCCGGGGGGCTTTGGGGCATCGCTGGAGGACGAGCTGTTCGACGAACTCGACAGAGAAGAACAGGAGCACAGAAAGAAGCCACTCGAGAGTGACTCCGCCGACGACAGTGAAGAAGAAGAGGACGAAGTGGAAGAGGAAGAGGAAGAGGGTAATAAGCAGCCATGGACGCACCTGTGCGTGCTCGACTTTGAGGCATGCCGAGAGGAGCTCGAGGGGGGTGAGTGGGTCTACGAGATCACCGAGCTGCCGGTCACCCTGCTCAACTGCACCACGCTCAAGGTACCACCTATCTTGATTTTTAATATATTTTGTTTCTAAAAAGAAATTAAAAATGTACAAATTGTTTCAAAAAGAAATAAAAATGTACAAATTTCTACACGGCGTTTGGGGCAGGTGGAGGACAGGTTTCATCGGTACTGCCGGCCCGAGAGGATCACGCCCGCCGTGCTGCAGCGTTACGTCGATCGCAAGTACGGAGACATGGGCCAGGCCGAAGTACCCACTCCCTCCACCAGCTTATCTTATCGCACACTTGATCCCTCCTCACGCGTGTGTGGTGCGTGTGGAAAGTCGTGGCACGAAGGTGCGGTGAGCCTGCAGACGGCACTACACGACCTGGAGCGATGGCTGCGAGAGAAGGACCTTCTCCTGGGCGACAATGCAGATGAGCAGCCGGCCAAGTTCGCCTTCATAACGTGTGGCGACTGGGACTTCAAGAACGCGCTGCCGCGGATTGCGACCTGCTGGGCCTGCCCGTACCTCCGTTCATGCAGCAGTGGTACCCCACTCACCGCATCTTAACTGGCTTGTGTTGCTGACCTGGCAACCAAACAAGACTCACCAGTGCACGCCACTTCCAGGATCAATGTCAAGACCGTTTACCAGAAGTTCTACAAGACCAGAAGGCCACCTGCAGGTATGTAGATGACAGACCTGTATGCCATGACTCAGTATACATTGGTCAACTCACAATGGGTGGGGTCTGACAATGTACGATGCAGGAATGACCACGATGCTGCGTGCATTAGACATTCCACTGGAGGGAACACACCATTTCGGGAAGGACGACGCAAACAACATCGCCAAGGTCGTGCAGCGCATGATCAGCGACGGCTGCGTCTTCTTCATCACCGGACAGGAGTGCGACATGTGGCACAAGCACTCCGGAGACAGAGGCCAGACCACCCTACCTTCGCCACCACAAGAAGAAGAAGGTGAAGATGACAGTGAGGCATAGTTCTCTTTCCAAATTGTGAACAACTAGTTATAAATGCACTGGAGGAGTGCCAGTAGTCAAGTGGCTTACTTCAAACATACAATATTGTGGCAGTGAGATTGAAACTCACCCCAGCCATCACACATGGCTGTGTGGGTAGCTCAATTGGTAGAGTGCAGTAAATCAACACTGCTGGTCATGTTACTCCTCTTTTTGAACCACAACTTGATTTACCACCCAATCAATCATGACCTCCCCTGATAGATCATTAATCATGATGAGGTGATTGGTTGGTTGCAAGGGGGTGGGCAGGTGGATGGTGGTGGAGAAGGCCAGGGTGTGGTGTGGCGTGATGAAGTTGCACCACTTGGCCAGCATGTCCTCCAGGCTGTGTTGTGGCCTGTGTAGTGATCTGTTGTGCCCACTGACTGTGCCTCCCTTGTAACTGCTGGAGATCATGAGTGAATGCTGTGCACCACACACACATGCACACTTGGTGAGAGAAGGGCTTTTGTACCAGGATTGTGCACAGTGATTTGGGAGGTCACAGGCAGGAAGCAGGGCTTGTTGCCCTTGTCACTGGCAGTGTTGATGGACAGTCCACTATTGGTGAACATGTAGAGCCCCACCAACAAGCCCTCACAGTCACCACTTCGTTGTGATGTACCTTGTCCAAGAGCAGGAGGACCTTGAGGAGATGGCCAAACTCTTGTAGAGGAACCTGAGAACATCAAGCTGTGCGTCCTTCTCTTGGTCATGGATTGACAGCCACACCTGCAGACACAACATGACACATGCTGGATGAGACATTCCTTCATTCATTCACTCATTCACTCATTCCTCACATTTCTGAACCTCCTTCTGGTTGGTCTTGATCATGCCCACAGAGAAGAGCAACAGGAAGAAGCAGCTCCGCCCAGCAAGCAGCATGCTGTTGACATTGAGCCTCATCACTGCCAACACTTCTTCCTCTTCCTCTGCTTCATAGAGGTTGTCATTGTTGTCATTGTCATAACAGTCATACCCTCCATCACAGACCTCAACAATCACCATCATGGCAAGCATGTTGGGCATCTTGTTGTGGTGGTCACAGTCACCAGCAGTCAACACCTTGGCAGCCTGGCCTGAGGGACAGAAGGGAAGGTGCAGGTCAATGGCCAGAGGGGTGGGTGTGTTGCTGCATGTGACATTGGGCAACAGATGCATGCACAGCATGTGGTTGGCGAAGGCCAGATTGTCAAAGGCAAACACAAAGGCCTCAACAAGCAAGAGCAGGATGAGGGAGAGCCACCACATTGAGGGCAGTGCATGGCCATGTGTGTTGGCAGATAGACATGATGATGATGATGCATATCCAGGTAGTGTGTGGTGGGAGTGGTGGATTGAACATTCACTCTGGGTGTGTAGAAGTGAGAGCCACAGTGGCATGTGAGCAAGCCACAACGCTTTAATAATAAAAGCGTTAAAAAATAAAAAATAAATAACTTAATTAAAACGTCATGGGTGGTCAACAACGTTGTTGCCGTCGTCCTCCTCATCCTCCTCCTGCTGGCAGTACTCGTAAGGCTCCCACACCTGGCCTGGGTAGACGAGAATGTCGAGATGCGACAGCAGGCTTTTCTTGGGGTCCTGGCTCCACATGTACCGCGGCTTGTACCCCACCTTCCGTATTCCCATTAAACACAAAGTGCCGCGCGTTGGTTAGTGCTCGTTCAACACAGACTGGCGCACACAACACACACACGCAGCCAGGCCTCACCACGCACTGGGGAAATACCAAGAATTCCGCCTCGGCGCGGTAATCGAACACGAAGGAATTGGCCGGCGTGAGACAGCACAGCGCGAGGAAGTAGCCCACCCGCTTCGAGTCCCACATCTTCGTCTCCGCCAGTGCAGTGTCGTCGTCGTCGTCGTCGTCTTCGTCTTCTTGTCGGTCTTGATCTTGGCTCGATATGGCCGTGTCGTCATTGTCGGACTTGAGGCCTCGGTAGAAGCGAGGATTATCGTCGGGCTCGCAGTGCAGGTCGAGCGCGCGCCCGATCAGCTCCAGCAGCGCCGTGTCCTCCTGCGTGACCACCGGCGGCTTGGGCGCGTCGCACGACAGCTGCAGGAGGGTCTTCTTGTCCGTCGGCGATTGAGTGCCCAGCCTGCGCTGGGCAAAGTCGTTGAGTCCGCGCGCGGTCAAGGCCAGCGTTTGGTTGTCTCCTCCCGAATCGTAGCCCTGCACGGCGGAGTGCCTGCACTCGACTTCGATCTCGAGCGGCTCCTCGTCATGGCCCGCTGTTGGTGCACACAGTCAGCAACAAAGCTGCTGCAACGACCCATTGTGGTGTGTGTGTCGTGTGTGCGCCGTGTGTGGTGTGTGTGTGTGTGGTGTGTGGTGTGTGTGTGCTTGCATGTGGTGAGGACGTGGATGGTGATTGCACCTTGATCGGAGGGAGCGACGATGGAAAGCCGGAATCCACAATCCGCAGTTAACTCTTCGGAGTACTCAACGGAACAGAGATATGTCACATCGCCTGGTGCGGAGAGGGGTGATTCAAAATTAGTTAGTGTGGCATGCGCGTCACGCGTGTCGTGGTGTGCCGTGTGTCGTGTTCCGTGTGTCGATGTGTCGAGTGTGTCGTGTGTCGTGCTCGACGTACCGCGACCAGATCGCACACAGGAAGCAAGGCGCGCAATCTTATCACTCGAAGGCCAGTCGAGCTCCGCGCTCAGGTGCCACATTTGCGCCAGCTGCATCCGGTACTGCCATCTCGCCGCTGCGCGCGCGCGCACGAGTGTTGTCAAACTTTTATGAATGCCCAAGGGAGACGTTTGAAAGGCAGTTGGGTTCAGCACAGCACGCGTACCAATGGAAGACAGAGACGAGAGGAGTTCGGGCGAAGAGATTGCACGAACGCGCGACGTCACGTCGAGCAACTCGGGCAGTTCGTCGTATCTGGACCTGATGTAGTACAGGGCCCCTGGATCCTCCCTACTCCGTGCAGACCCCACCACCGCCACGGCCACAGTTTAAATCAATTGTTTTTATACACAAAAAGGTAGTAGGAGCTCGTACCAAGCCCGGGTGAAGATGTCGGCATGAAAATCGCGAATGGCCTGGGGCTCGACTCCGGCGCAGCGAATCACGAACGACGCCAACCTGTGCAGGCCACCACAGCCCCCGAAATGTAAGCGGGTACCATTTGGGCGGAATTGGGGGGGGGGAAGATGGAACGGAACTGCCAGGGGGTCCAGCTGACGCCCAGCTTGGCCGCCAGTTCGACAAACCACTGCCGCATAAACTGGGGTTCATCCCACAGCTCGCCTGTTGTGGTAACCATTAACAAAGCACACAAACATGGCACACGGAGCAGACACACGGCACGCACGCCACACACGCCACACACGCCACGCCAACAGGAATGCGCAAAGACTAGAGAGAGGAAAAAGAGCAGTGTCAGTCATACCATGAGTCAGAAGGCTGGACACGACGGTCATACGATCCCCGGTGGGCGTCGATGATTGGTTCACCCGCAGAGCCGCTTCTTGGAACCCCGAACGCGTGTTCAAGCCACTGCCGTACTCCTGTGTGCGCAGACGGCAGAGCGTCAAAAGGGTACACACGACACATAACACGCGTGGAAGACAGCTCGGGTGCGTGCATACAATGCAGAAGTAGACGACGTTCTGTTCCTGTTGTTCGTTTCCTTTCCCATCGGCCTGATGAGTCGGAAGCTCGAGCTTGAGGAGAGTGACCAGGGCCGAGTCCTGCCCGCCGCTCCGCTTGGCCGTCGCTCGCACGCGCACCCGCTGTCTCAGCCACCCACCCACCACAATCACCGATCATTTGTGGATTTGTTATTTCATTTGTTTTTGTTAAAGAGAGCGGCGCGAACCTCGGTGGCAAGCGACAGGGCCTCGGTTGCGTTGAGCTGCGTCTCGACGTCCACCACGCGTGGTGCTTGCCTCCGCGGCCGACCATACTCGTCTTCATCTTCGTTTTCATCATCTTCTGCGTCTTCATCTTCTTCATCGCGGCGCTGGCGGCCTGCTCGAGCGCGGAAATCGCCACCGCCAGCGCCGCCGTTGTAGTCGTCGCCCGCGGCGCCGGAGTAGAGCGCAGTGTCGCGCCAGTAGTCGGGCGAGCGCAGGCAAAGCTCGTGGAGGCGCGCCTCGGCCGCGATGCGCACCTCCTGCAGCAGCGCCCACCTCGCATCCACGCGGTCGCTACTGGTTTTGGCCGCCAGGTCGGGGCAGCTGCTCTCAAAATCGCTGGGTTGCTGCTCCTGCAGCTTTTTCTCCCTCTCTTCTTCGGCTACCCGCGCGGCTTCAGCAGCGTCCTCAATCATCCACGCCAGATCCGACTCGAGGCTTTCTTCATCTTCGGCTTCGTCTTCGTTTTCGTTTTCGTCTTCGTTTTCGTTTTCGTTTTCGGCTTCGTTTTCGTTTTCGTTTGCGCTTTCTGGTTCTTCGACCGTGTCGTCGAGTCGGGCGTCGTTGTTGTTGCTGTCGTCATCGTCGCCCTGCGGCGGGGGAAGGCTGGCGAGGCGCGGGAGGAGCTCGCCCACGAGAAGCGCGGCGAGCGGGTGGTCGCGCATGACCATGTCGGCCCAGAAGGAGCTCGTGGCCCGCAGCCGCAGGGCGTCTTCCACCTCCAGCCCCCTGCTCCACCACCATTAAATTAATTAATGAAATGGGGATACCATTCCCCCAAAATCAACTTAAAAAATAACAATTCCACGAAATGTGAACAAATAAAAAAACGAAGGGGGGGAGGTGGACGAACCGAACAAGTTGGTGGAGTACGAGGTCTGGCAGCTCGCTCAGCAAGATGGTCATATGCGCGTCAGCTTTGGTGTCCTCACTTGGCCAGGACGGCTTGGCCTTTTTATTGGCCTTGGTGTCCTGGGGAGCAGAGGCCTCCGCCCCAGTTTGCTCCACCTCCACACATTCAAGTCTTCGCTTCATTGCCACGGCGCTGTGCACTCGGGTTGCGCTGTCTTGTGGTTGTTTTTAGTTTTCTTTTTTTTTTGAGATCCAATTCATGTGTGAGACAAAAAATTCCTCGAAAACGAAACCCTCAGAGCAATGCGTTGCCGGCCATTGGTCGGCCGTTGCTCACCTACGTTGCCCAGCATTGTGTTGGACCCGACACAACAGCATAGCTCCTGTTGCGCCGCACCAGCCTCGACTGACGTGCAGTGGGGGTGCCGGCCCAGAGGGTGAGGGCGGTAGGTGCCCTTGGCCAACCACCGCGCCGAAAAAGAAAACAAAGAAGCAAGGCCTGTGGCCCAATGGACGTCTGACTACGATCAGGAGATTCTGGGTTCGACCCCCAGCAGGCCTGAAGCTTAATCTTTTTTGCCCTGTTCGCTTCATCAACAGGACAGGCGTAATGTGCGTCGCCGTTGTTGGTCGTGTCGTGCACCATCGCCAGCATGCGAATTCACCACGCGGAGGGAAGCAAGCAGCTTGCGTGGCCAATCCACGATCATGTGACCGACATCTGACCAAAACAAAAAGAAGGCCCTGTTTTGCACAGAAGGTTCAAAAAGATTATTCCGCACCACAGCGGATTTCGTTGCAGCACTGTTTCTCTGCGGCTATTTCTTTACCGCCGGATTCATTCCACCCTAAGCCCGTCACCGACCAACCTCTGGTGCTGGCCAAACTGGCCGTCGGTGTGCTGCGGCAGGTGGCGCGCGTGTTGACTACCAGGCCTACTTCGTGTGCCTCTTCTACCAGAAGGACGCCGTGAGCCGGTTTGTGGAGCAGCGGCTGCTGTTCAACATCTACCCGCTGGAGGATCACATGCGCAAGAACAAGGTGCGGGACCATAGCATCGGTCCCTCCGCCTTTGCTTATCTCTACTTCTACGGTCTCTTCGTGCACAAGCTTGGGCACTTTTTTGACATTGGTACGCCATCACTGGACCCCGCTTTCTGTTGTCTTACACTTCAACTGATTTGATGTCCTAAAACGCCACAGTGCATGGAACATGACACCACTCCAGCATGAATGAGCTGCGCATTGAAATCAAGATGGAGTGGATCGGTTTGACCTTGATGCCATTCTCACAGGTCCACAAGCCTGGATGCTTGAACAGACTGTCTTTTGAAGTGTGTGCAATGTTCTTTCCATGTTCTTTTTCCACTTTGTCCTGGAGCACAACAGCATGTAACAGAGTGTGGCAAAAGTCAACCAAACATGGATCCATTCATGTTGTTGTCATCACAGTTACTTGCAACACTTTGTATTCTGGAATACAAGGGCATGTGCCTTAGTGGACACAAAGTAGGTGTTGTTCAAGGAAATTGTTGACCTGCTCCAAGGCTGGTTGGAAGGAAGGAGGATGAAGGCTGGGGGTGTGGCTGATGTCCAGGGGGGTGTCATCAGCAGTATCTTGCACTTCTTTGCTCTTGAAGCTCTTCTTTTTTCCAGAGCCTGATTCAAGAGCAATATTTTTACTTAGGTATCTAGAGTTCAGAATAGGCGAAACCTCTGGCCATTTGGTAAGGCCACCAGGCCATGCTTGATCTGTACCAGGGACATCTGCAGGTGCTCCTGAATGATCTGCAGCTCCATTGGGAAATCAGCAGTAGAGGAGTGAAATGAAGTGCAAGGGTTCAGAGGAGGAAGTGCAAAGCTCAAGCTTGAGTGAAGAGGAGGAGTTGGAGAAGCAAGGAGCTGTGGAGCTGGGACCCAGGGAGGAAGTGGAAGTTTCAAGGGCTGCCACAAGTGGACCTTGCAAGGCAAGAACCTCACCACAACCTCACTGGGCCTGAATGTTCAAGCCTCAACCCCCTGTTCCAGCTCATCCACAACCATTCCAACATCTACAAGCTGGTGGAAGCCCATGTCACTGGGTCTAGCCTGCTGGGGACAAGTCATGCACCTGACCTCAAGCCTGTCACCACTGTGATAAACTTAAAGTGCTCCAAGGGCTAGACATCAGCTTGAAGAAGGCACTGCTCCTGAAGGTGTACAAGGGTGAGTACACCTGGTGCAAGATGGACCACGAGGCCAGCATCATCAAGGTAAGAGATAAGGTGATGGCTGGTCTGATGGTGGTACTCAAGCAGACCACCTGGGATCAAGTCATCAAGGCTGTCAAGGAGCATGTGCTCTTGTTGGTGTCATGGTGCACCATGGCTACCTGACCTACTGGACACACACCTTCACCAATGGCTCCAAGGTGCTGTCCTGCCACCTGCCCTTTGGTGACTATGGGACCACCATTCCTTGCAAGCATGTCATCTTCCTTATTATTTTATCAGTTGTTGTATTCCAGAATACACCTGCCCACCATTGTATTCTGGCATACATTCTAACTTTTTTTTCCTACAGCTCTGGTGCTGATTGACCTTCTGCATGGTCTTGCACCTCTCAAGGGCATCACTGACACTGAACATTGGGATGCCAAGCCCTACCCTGTTGCTAAGATCTGGCCTCCTGAATGTGGTCAGGTTCTGCAACAAGTTGGATGAATTTGTCCTGGTCCTCTTCTGTGAGCACTCTCAAGCAGCCAGCTACATGCAAGAGATTTCCAATGCCTTCCCAACCTGCACTGTCTCACTCAGTGTGATACCCCTTTCTGGCAGCTGGGGAGGAGCCTGTCACTGGCTGTTCAACAACTTTGAGATGTACCTCATTGTTCAATGGAAAAATTTTGGCACATTGAGCAGGTCTGGTTCAATGCTCTCATGCTGGAGGACTACTTCCTGTCCTTCACCATGCCAGCCCCAGGTCTCTGGTGTGATGCTATTAGGCTTTCTTCCCCTCATTTTGACCCCTCAAATGCTACACATACCTATTCCAGAATACATGCCCTTTTTTAAATTGCCTTTCTTTACTCTTGTTCTTCTTCACTGTACAGTCATTCCTTCCCCTGACAATCCATATTATTCAGCTGTTTACCCTCTTCGTAGAGTAGGCCACTTGCATCTTTTCAGTGTTTAATAATCCAGCTAAGTTCAGGCCTGCATGTGTATACTTCTACTCACTGTTACCAATTACCCCCCAATTTTGAGTCTCTTTTGTTCAGGCGCACAGTCATTTGACAGTACACATTAATAAGAACTTAGGGTAGTGGCCACCAACCCAAGAACACTGGGGTGAGGCTTGCTCTTGTCACACCAGCCAAAGGGGGGGAGCCTGTCTACTTGATCATTTGTGCCCCCGTTCGCTCCCCCCCTTGTTGGTCTGTGTTATCCACCAACATGACATGACACCACAGCAACCAACCAACAAAATAGATAGGCACAGCAGCAACACCAACACCAACACCACAATGGAAAAATGATCCATCAATAAATGATGGATGATCCATAATAATAATTATGACACCATTGCCACCCTTCTTCAAGCTTTGCATCACCAATGATGATGACAACACACTCACATTATCCAGCCAACTCTACATTGCCATTGTATGGCCATCACATGGTGCACCACCAATGGTCATGGTTGTTATCCACACAACAACACATCCTTTCATGATGAAAACAAAACTGTGGCCCCACCACCACAATTGTGCAGTCAGCCCTGATCCACACCTACTGGAACCACCTGGCCCAGAAATTCCAACATTTGTCTGGCTGTAGGTGAGTGCTGATGAGTGGCGGTTGGGTGACTGATTGAGCTAGGAGAAGCAGGCGATATTCTCATTCTTGGGTTCAGACGCCATAAAAGGAAAGAAATCAAAGAAGAATGAAGGAAATCCTGTCATCACCAAAAAACGTGGCAATCATTTCTTTTATTTCTCGCAATAAAATGGTGGCCTACCTCTCATCCCGCTCTTTTCGCCGTCGTAGCTTTGAACCACTCCCCTTCCCTGTCTTCCACATGAGCGCCGCGTCCGACTCGACGTCAACCAGCGATGCCTCGACTGTGACGGTGCTGGCGCGGAATCCGCTGCAGTGCGCCGATGATAAGTGGCTGCGAGTGGCGGATGATACTCCATCGGCCAGGTGGTGCTGCTGCATCGGCGACTCGATGCGCCGCAGCGACTCACTCCATCAAGCCCTGGCCCACCTGCTGAACTACTATCCGCATCTGACAGGCCGTATTGCGTTCAATCCAGACGCCCAAGATCGATCGCCTCGGCACCGGTGCTGAGCTGGTGTCGGCGCAGAAGCGTTCCACGCCGCCGCTGCGGCCCCGTCCGACGACGATGGCGACGACGGCGCCGCGCCGCGCCGCGCCTGGTCGCACTGACCCTGCCTGGGGCCGGCGGCAACGCACTGCTGGCCCCATTCGACCCCAGCATGGAGGGTGTGTGCTGCGACCCGATCTTGACGGTGCAGCACACGCGCTTCGCCTGCGGCGGCGTCGCGCTCGGTGTGCGCCTGCTTCACATGGTCTGCGACGCCGACGGCTTCTTCCAGTTCCTAATCTATCTGGCTGATCCACCCGCCATTGCACAGGTACAGCTGTTCGATCTGTCCGAATACAACCCTCTTGCTCCTCTGGTCAGACTCTTAAGTTAAAGCAGGTACCGGAGAAATGTGGGGTGGTTTCAGGATAAAGTAGCCAATAAGAAAAATTTCCTGTCAGGAATAGGATTCTATTCTCCCGGCAGTGTTGGTGGTTCAGGTTAAGTGAAGTCCACCCCCCAGCCTGCCACATATAAAAGGTCGCCGCCCGGACAGTCACCACCATCACCCACCACCACGACCAACAACAACACCACCTCGCCAATGGCCAGCCAACTGCCCCTCACCGCCAGGAAGAGCCTCAAGGATGCCGAGCCCCAGAACGCCGAAGCCATCAAGAAGCTGGAGGCTGCCACCGGCACCACCGGCTGGACCTTCGAGGCCGACGGAGCGGCCATCCACGAGGCTCTGAAGAACGACGGCAACCTCGTCGGCAGGGTGATCAACCAGACTCTGTCCGGCCTGGTGGACAACATCATCAAGCTGTGCAAGAAGGACGAGATGTACAAGGAGGCCTTCGTCGAGAAGATCACGGCCAAGAAGATCAAGTTCGTCGTCACCAGCGAGGGTCCTGCCTACTGTCCCGGCGAGACCTCCTTCCCCGAGGGAGTGCTCCTGGTGACCATCCACCAGGAGAAGCCCTGGGTCAACGTCAACCAGACCGGCAACAAGATCGAGTCCCAGCTCTAAGAAGTCCACCACCTCCCCCCCCTGCAGCTCCCTTCTTGCCCTCAGCACACAGCGCGCAAGCAGCAGCATATATCAGGAGTTAAGTTCAATTTCGGCCAATAAATCCGGACACCCCTTTATAAAATGATGGACCTCGTTGCGGACGCGAGACACTGCGGTGGCCTGTGCTCGGCTGATTGCGCGACAGCGAGCGACTAGCGGCGCACGAGGGCGCGGGTACGGGTTGACTGCGTCTCTGTCTTCGTTGCTGGCGTGGTGTTGCTGTCTGCGTCGCTGCGAATCCCAAAAAGCGAAATAGAGACGCGCCATGCAGAGCGAGCAAGCCGCAGCGCGAAACGCCAGGCAACGTTTGCAACTGCGCACAAGCCTGGGGGATGGCCGGTCGGCCGCCGCGATGTCTCCAGCAGCAGGCGCGCGCGCGCGTGCATGGTCGCCTTCTCTCCGCATCAGCGCTTGGCGTCGGCGCGCAGAGAAGGGCTGACGCCGACGCGGGTGAACCTCACCGACGATGGCCAGCGCCCAACAGCCAACGACGCAACACCCAACACCCTCGCGGTGGTGACAACGAGCGACGATGACGACGACGAGCCGGCATGGCCGCCGATGTCGCGCGCCTTGGGCTGGCGAAGTTCTCGGTCCCAATTCCGCGCTGCTCTTTCTGGTTTCGGTGTGGCTGGTTCAAAACGAAAAACGCACACCAGCAAAACTTGCCCCCCAGCCTCGAACGCGGCCCGACCCCGGCCCCCGTCGCCTCTGCCCGCAGACCAGGCATGCGCCCAGCTTCGACCGCCAGCACCACCGCCTCCCTATCCTGCTCGCGCAGACGTTACATCGCCACCCCACCGCCGCTCCCCGCGTCTCGCCTGGGCGCACCGACCTCCGGCGCCAAGAACCGCTGCAGCCTCTCGCCGACAGCGAGAGCGCGAGCAGCTGCAGCAGCAACGGCGATGATGACGACAGCGAGAGCAGCAGCAGCAGCAGCAGTGCAGGCAAAGACGACGACCAGAACACGGGGTCGACTTGGCGGCGTAGGCGCTCCCGGTCGCTCGCATAGCGCGAAGCTACGTTAGCGCGGAGCCTGCCCCGCTGGCGTCGGCGTCGAGTAGGCGGCGGCATAAGCGCTCGCGCTCACGCTCGGTTGCATGCGCTCACCCGCGCAGACACTCAGCGGCGACGACGGCCAGACGCCCACACGCCGACGCTCGATGCTTGACCCAACCTTTCCTAATTCTCCTTTTGAGTGGCGGGCTGGGTGGACTGAAGTGAAAAAAGGCACCGGAGAAATTTGGTTTCAGGGGATAAAGTAACCAACAAGAAAAATGCTCTCCAGGAATAGACTCCTTGTGGTGGATTCAGTGAAGTCCTCGCCCCAGCCTGCCACATATAAAAAGGTCACCACCCGGACAGTCACCACCATCACCCACCACCACCAACAACACCACCTCACCAATGGCCGCCCAACTGCCCCTCACCGCCAGGAAGAGCCTCAAGGATGCCGAGCCCCAGAACGCCGAAGCCATCAAGAAGCTGGAGGCTGCCACCGGCACCACCGGCTGGACCTTCGAGGCCGACGGAGCGGCCATCCACGAGGCCCTGAAGAACGATGGCAACCTCGTCGGCAGGGTGATCAACCAGACTCTGACTGGCCTGGTGGACAACATCATCAAGCTGTGCAAGAAGGACGAGATGTACAAGGAGGCCTTCGTCGAGAAGATCACGGCCAAGAAGATCAAGTTCGTCGTCACCAGCGAGGGTCCTGCCTACTACCCCGGCGAGACCTCCTTCCCCGAGGGAGTTCTCCTGGTGACCATCCACCAGGAGAAGCCCTGGGTCAACGTCAACCAGACCGGCAACAAGATCGAGTCCCAGCTCTAAGAAGTCCACCACCTTCCCTCCCCCCCTGCCGCTCCCTTCTTGCCCTCAGCACACAGCGCGCAAGCAGCAGCAGAAATCAGGAGTTAAGTTCAATATAGGCCAATAAATCCGGACACCCCTTTATAAAATGATGGACCTCGTTGTGGACACGAGACACTGTGGTGGCCCGTGCTCGGCTGATTGCGCGACAGCGAGCGACTAGTGGCGCACGAGGGCGCGGGTCCGGGTTGACTGCGCAGCCTGCGCGCCAATGTCTCTGTCTTCGTTGCTGCTGCCGCCAAGCCCGGCGCTGTCGTGTCTTGTTGCATGTTGGAGGGCAGCATAGGCGCAGACGCCCGCGGCCGACAGCGAGAGCGCGAGCAGCTGCAGCAGCAACGGTGATGACGACAGCGAGAGCAGCAGCAGCAGCAGCGCAGGCAAAGACGACGACCAGAACACGGGGTCGACTTGGCGGCGTAGGCGCTCCCGGTCGCTCGCATAGCGCGAAGCTACGTTAGCGCGGAGCCTGCCCCGCTGGCGTTGGCGTTGAGTAGGCGGTGGCATAAGCGCTCGGTTGCGTGCGCTCACCCGCGCAGACACTCAGTGGCGACGACGGCCAGACGCCCACACGCCGACGCTCGATGCTTGACCCAACCTTTCCTAATTCTCCTTTTGAGTGGCGGGCTGGGTGGACTGAAGTGAAAAAAGGCACCGGAGAAATTTGGTTTCAGGGGATAAAGTAGCCAACAAGAAAAATATCCTGTCAGGAATAGGATTCTATTCTCCTGGCAGTGTTGGTGGTTCAGGGTTAAGTGAAGTCCACCCTGGCCTGCCACATATAAAAAGGTCGCCGCCTGGACAGTCACCACCATCACCCACCACCACCACCACGACCAACACCACCACCTCACCAATGGCCGCCCAACTGCCCCTCACCGCCAGGAAGAGCCTCAAGGATGCCGAGCCCCAGAACGCCGAAGCCATCAAGAAGCTGGAGGCTGCCACCGGCACCACCGGCTGGACCTTCGAGGCCGATGGAGCGGCCATCCACGAGGCTCTGAAGAACGACGGCAACCTCGTCGGCAGGGTGATCAACCAGACTCTGACTGGCCTGGTGGACAACATCATCAAGCTGTGCAAGAAGGACGAGATGTACAAGGAGGCCTTCGTCGAGAAGATCACGGCCAAGAAGATCAAGTTCGTCGTCACCAACGAGGGTCCTGCCTACTGCCCCGGCGAGACCTCCTTCCCCGAGGGAGTGCTCTTGGTCACCATCCACCAGGAGAAGCCCTGGGTCAACGTCAACCAGACCGGCAACAAGATCGAGTCCCAGCTCTAAGAAGTCCACCACCTTCCCTCCCCCCCCTGCAGCTCCCTTCTTGGCCTCAGCACAGCGTGCATGCAGCAGCATTTCCGGAGTTAAGTTCCAAATAAATCCGGACACGATGGACCTCATTGCACCTCGTTGACTTATATAGTATACATCTGCTAAAAAAGGAAGACCCTTAATTTGCGCCATGGAAGAGGAAGCGTGGTGGACTGAAGAAGCGCAAGACCGATGACGTTCGCCGCATCACCGTCACCGTCATCGGGCACCACTCGCCAGTTGTTTTTTCAGTCGTCCTCATCACCGTCACTTCCATCGTAGGAACTTCCTTTAGGGTTTTAGGGTTGGTCGTCCATGATGATGATCCTTTCGGGTTAGGGTAAAGGGGCGGGCCGACGACAGGCCGACGCCGTCGTGAAGCGCGTAGGACCGATGCATGTAAGCCGACCAACCGAAAATTCAGGGTGGGCACGCACGCCAACAACACAACACAGAAGCGGAGGGAGGGGGTCCACTTTCAAGATTGTGTGGGCCGTCGGCGTTATCCACCGCGACGAAGGACGCTGTCACCGTCATCACCCTTTGTTGGTCCTCCCCACATGGCCCGCAGACCGGAACAGCCGATGCCCGTTTTACAGACGCCACCATGTCCTAAGTCCAACTCGGCCATGCGCAGCGGACGCCCACCCACCGCGGCCCACCCGATGCCTCCACGCACGCACGCACTCGCGTCCATCCACATCAACGGCCCTTAATCGTCCTCCTGGCGGACGTGTGACCCCTTCGCGTCACTGCTCCTGGTGGTGTTGCATAAAATCGAAACACACCCACCGATTGCCCACGCGACGGACAACGAAAAAACGGAACGAAGCCGCAAACGGAACGAGGCCCGCGCACTATCCACGCGGTACGTCGTCGCCACCGCCGCCGACACCACCGCAAATTCAAAACACGCAACCCTTTTTCTCGATTGTGTGGTACGCACTATCCACGCAGCACGTCATCCACCCACCGAGAACGGAATGCGCCACAGTCCTCATCACCGTCACTCCCATCGGACCCTAGCAAGTTCATGCGCACCATCGCCGATTATACAGTCCGCGCACCGCCAAGAACAGAACGCAGCCCGGATGTTTGATAGCACCTTCGCCAGATGGATGGAGAGCGTCCGATTATGTGGTCGGCCCTGAGTTGCCATCGCTGATGATTTGAAAACATTGTTTTCGTTTTTGGGCAAGCCTCACACTTTGGTGCAGTATTGGCTGGTCATGCCTTTGTGGTCAAATGCCTGGAAGCACATGGATGTGCATGATCAATCATCCACCTACACTGTGTCTGTTGGGTAGGACCATGTTGGATAAAGCAAAGAATTAAAGGCACTGTTTTATTATGCATTATTTATTGATTCCTTATTGCATTTTTTTAAATTTACTTTTAATTTGCCAAGGCCAAGGTGGTTGTCACCAACCAGGTCTGGAAGTACTTTGGTCTGCTCATGTGACATGCCTCTGCTCAATGTTGCATATGGTATTGTGTGATAACAATCATGGCAGCTGGCCTGCTTGGGTGACAAAAGGAGCTAGCCAACCATGGGGCTACTGAGCTAGGATGGCTGGCAGAATGTGTTTGGACACCTTGTGAACTTTTTCATTTAGTGGAACCATTCATGGGAGTATGTGGCACACAACTTTTCACAGGGAATGGTGAACTGGAAAAAGGTTCCACCTGCTTGTGGAGCAACTCAACCCTCAATCAGTATGTATATTTGTCTTTCCTAATTAAAAGCAGGTCCATGACATACGTGCCTTCACCACAGATTTGCCTCAATCTCTCTCTGCTATTTCTTCTACTGTCCTGTTGTTGATGGTTTTAGCTGAGCAGCTCCAGGAAGGGCTAGAGGAAGAGAGTGTTGTAGATGTAGGTCTTGGCCTGGAGCCGCTTGACGTTGGCCAGGGCCGTGGTCACGTTGGCGCAGCTGATCCGGCGCTCGTCGCTCTCCAGCAGGGGCGAGGTGACATCGTCCACCACGCACTTCATGGCCTCCATGGCCTCGTTCAAGTGAGCTAGGTCGTAGAACAGCACGCTCTTGTCCAGCTCCTCGGTCTCGTAGCCGCGCCAGTTGGCCAGCGAGAACCGGCACGACTCGCCGTAACCGTCGCACACGCCGCACACGTCGAGTAGGCTGCCCTCGCCGTCGCACCCGTACGGCTCGCACCGATCGCCCTCGCACACGCCGCACCAGTCCATCTCGCCACCCTGGCCGTCGCACCCGGTCACCCCCACCCGCACCACGATCTCGGCCCACTCCGAAGCCACCAGCGCACTCTCAGCTCTCGCGTCGTACGACACCGCACGGTAGCGCACCGTTGCAGTGTAACTCACCGGCGATGTGGTCAGGAAATAGGCCACAAAGAATCTATATTCATATATATTAGCCACTATCTGGTTGAGTATGGTGTGAGGAATGTGGAGAATGCCAAGAAAACGTACTGTGAGCCTTCGGCGACGGTGATGACGTTGCCCTGGTTCACCAGGACGGCCGCGCCGCCGTCGCGGTAGATGGGCTCGGTCGGGTTGAGCGCCGACACGTCGATCTGCGCCGCGAACGTGTCGTTCGGGTGGGCCGAGTAGATGAAGAGGGTGAGGTGCGCCAGCAAGAAGTTGGTCGCCTCCACTCGCAGCACCAGAGGGGCCGACGAGAGGCACCCACACCGGCGCCTGGCCCTCGATCTCGCCCTCGAACGCGGCGTTGGCGCCGGTCGGGGAAGAATCGAGCGCCACGTACGACTCATCCTCCCCCTCGCCTCTAGACTCGCGGTCCAGGTGGAACAGGCCCACCAGACTACTGGCGCGAGCCTCGGCGTAGGGGGTGGTGGTCGTGGTCGACGACAGGTCGGTGGTGTCGTAGCCCGCCAGCATCTCGGCCGGGGTGCGCACGCCGGCCCACACGCGCAGCTCGTCCATGCGGCCGTGGAAGGTCTACAGGCGCAACATCATGTCTCTGCAGAAGGAGTGGACCACCAGCATCATGCACAAGAGTGTGGTGGCCATGCTCAATGTGGTGGCTGCAATTGAGAGTGTTTTCAAATTGAGGTTTCAAAATGGTAATCATTTCAATAATCATTTCCCGCCAAAGACTTCACCAAAACAACCGCACACAAAGCAAAAGATGAAGGCATGAATTTGAAGGGGTAATTTTTTTCTTACTTGGTACGCTCTTGTGAAGGTCTTGACCACCAAATGGATGAGGAACATCAACTGGCACATGATTTGCGCATCGTCAATTCATTTGGCGTTGGCACTGCGCGCTACTGCTCGTGCTGGCCTTCGACTCTAGCGAGTAGCAGCAAGAGTCTTGCTCAAGAAGACCCTCGCCTGGGCACTACCTACGTCGACGTGCCGCTCGGCTGCAACATCGTGCGGTGGGACATTGATCGGCGCGAGCGCGTGAGGTTCTTTCGCCCCCACGGCGACATCGTAACCTGCATGCTCAAGACCGACGACTTCATCTTCACCGCGTCCGAGGCCGGCGAGGTGGCCCTCTGGGACCACCACCCCGACCACGTCTGGCGCCTGCTCGATCGTTCGCACCACGCTACGCGCCGGGTGAAGGTCACCCACGCCGCCGTCTCCCCCTGCCGCGGCCGCATCGTCACCAC